CATGTAATATCGTCTATCCATTGAGATAGTTGAAATAATGTAATTTGGTTTGCCCTCTATCAGATTGATTATAAAATTGTTCAATTTGGCTGTGATTTATTTCAACCTCTTTCATCTCGCGCCTTTCAGAGTCAGTACTCTATTATTCTGTTGGAAACGTCTTTAACTAGAACAGGAAATGCAAGTTCTGAGTACATACATACATACATACATACATACATACATACATACGTTAGTTGACCGCTCCCCATGGGGGCTTTCCGGGGCCAATTCCCACTCATCCCACCCCAGGGGAGGACATCCACAACACAGTAATCTCGTGCGTGGGAAATTAACGTCTCCTACCCCTAACCCTGCAGGAGACGGGGCCTACGGTTTATTCGTCCTTACCCGAGAAGACTAGAATATCTATCCATTTCTTGATTATAGAAGGGTAACATAGAAAAAGGTACCATAGAACCATTAGAGCTTCTAAATACAACTTAATATAACCCTTTATGTGACTGCATAACAAAAAGCCCCAACTGCTGTTAATCACTGAATTATATATCATAGATATTTTTTACGAGTAAATTGATGTATACGGTTCATTTTTGGCAATTGATCATTCAGAATAGAAAAGAGAATGATACCAAAGTTGCCGCTTAACACTGGTTCGAGAGATATACCATATCCTCTTAAATTTCTTGCTTCATGGCTATTCAGCCAAAGGTATTAAATTTGTGAGAGAATCACGACGAAAAATATATATCTTGGTTAAACGCCCTTTAATTCGGCTTCTGACTCGAAACGTAACACTTTAGCATTTTCTTAAGTACAACCGAAAGGCCATCCTGCAAATTTACACATATTAGCATTTGAGGCCTTAAGAAATGATAGTGGCAGCTGTATTTTACACTTAAAGTAAATTGGTGAGTAGAGTTGGGAACTAGGCAACAATCCAAACTCCTCGTTCTTAGGCTTTCCGCGTTAAGTTAGGCCTGCGTGAGTTTGGGTGTGCGGTTTTAAGAGTTTCAAAGTCTAGCCAATTAGCCCTGTTTCAAGTGTAAGAGGTGTTCTCTGCTTTAATTTTGAAGAGGGGCAAAAATTAAATCAATATCCTATTTTTTTAGGCGAGAAGGAAAACGAAAC